ACACTGGGCAGCAGCCAGCAGTCCTCTGGTGACAAGGAACTTCCTTTTTTATATGTGCACTACCCTGTCATATGTAGTTCATATAATAAATTTATTATTCCTGTGTTTGTCAGGAGTGCCTCCCTTCTATGCGTCTGGGGCCCATTGTCCTAGCAGGGCTGCTGCTGGTGTGGAGATGCTGTCCTCTGGCGCCAGACCTTAGCTCCTCTCTGTATAGCTTTCTGTCAGCCTGTGGCATGCCCAGCTTCATGGCCAACTTCTCTTGAAATAATGCTCAGGAAATGGGGCAGTAGGGCCAGGAGCACCGTGTTCTGGGTGGTAGTAGGCACACACTGCCTGCCTGGAGGAGATGCACGCAGCTCTTGGGCCAGGGCACCCCGGAGAGGACCATTCTCCTTGGCTACGGCCTCTAAAGGCAGCTCAGCCAGACCACTCATCACTGCTGGGTGCCCCTGGCAGTGACTGGTATGTTCCCCAGAAGGACCAGAGCCTGGAAGGCAGGTCCCTTCCAGCCTGGCAGGGAGCAGGATGAGGAACAAATGACTGGCAGGAGACCCCTGATAGCCAGTGGAGAGGGAGAATTGGGACTTGGGGCAGCAAGTTTTATTTGTAGCAATTAGGATAATACTTGTAACATGCTTTTGTATAAATAGAAAATATTTTCAGCTTGGAGATGCAGTGCTTTATCTGGCATAGATTTCCTCTATGTTGAAATCAGCATGGCATGACAGTAGGATTCAGGTGAACTGGGTGTCACCAAGCCCAGCTGCAGGGCACTGGTGCCAGTGCCACATCTGCATCTGAGGCCCAGTCCTCCTCCCTGTGGGCACCATGCCTGCAGACTTCACACTTCTTAGGCCCCGTTTGAGCCCACAGCATCCCAGTGCCCAGGGAAGGAGCCCTACTGGGCTGATAATGTGACATGTGATGTATTACTTGTTTCCCGGGGGTAGTGCTGGGCCTTGGGCTTTCCTGAGGGGATTGGAGTTACTGTAGCTGACAGGAGGAGAGGCATGGTGGATGCACAGAAGGTTTTCGAAAGTGGGCCGTATTTCACCCAAAGCCTCACTTGCAGGTGATACATGTTCCATAGCTGATGGATGACCACCTTACGCTGCTGCATAGCCATGGGCTTGCACAGGTGTGGGGCAGGCATGTTCAGGGTGCCACCTCTACTGTCTTCTCCTCAGCATGGTGGCCCCTGAATTAGAGGTCTTGTCCTCATCTCTGAAAAGTCATTATAGCAACCCAGAGGTGACATGGAGGAATGGTCTCCCCCAACCCCTGACCTTTCCTCCAGGCAGCGTCCATGCCAGTGTGGGCCCACATAGGAAAGGGGGCTTATCTATGCTGCTTCCATGAGGCCCACCTCCCCACTTCTGTTGACCAGGGTGCTCTGGACACCAGGTGGGGGTTCCTGAGGCCAGCTGTGACCTCAAGGTACCCTGGGTTCCATTCAAACCCCACCCCTTTAGGGCTTCTCACTCCACCCTGGTCTTGGGGGACCTCAGGACTCCAGAGCAGCAGGACCTGGTCCTGCTAGTTGTATTATCCAGAATGTGTACTCCCAGCATCCTTCCTGTGGCCAGAAGCAGCAGCCACACTGGCTCCTAAGTCCAACATTTTGGGGCCATCAGCTTTCAACTCTTGCTTCTTGGAGCCAGGCTGGGGCTTGCTTTGATATCTCCCTACAGGTCAGACCTAGGAGGACTAGCCATTACAGCCCTTAAAAGCCACTGCCCACTTGCTCTGGGGCCAGCCACCTGCTCCCAAGAATCCCCTACCTGTTTCCTCCTCTGGAAAGGGGAAATGGGAAAGTCCTCCTTGGGAGGGCTGCTAAGAGCAGTGGGTTAGGGTCTGAAGGGCGAGCCTGCAAATGGTGCCTGCTGCTGGCTCCAGACCAACTATATGTGGCAGCTGCTTCCTATTTGGGAAGAATGAAAGGCCTAGGACCCACTCTGCACAGGTTTTATTCTCCATAGCCCAATCCCAGTGATTATTGGCAGAGGAGGGGCTGCTCCTGATGACAGTGCCTAGCCTCCTGCGAGAGGCTCTGTGCCTCACTCCATAGAACATGTCACAAGGCCAGGGCTCTCTGGGCAGGGCCATGGGACCCTCTAGCTTTCTTCATGGAGCCTTTGTCTTGGGCAACCTGGGTCAGAAATGCCTGATTGTTCCTTGTCCACCACCACATCCTGATGTCTGCAGGGTTTGCCCACTCTGCTCAGCTAGGCCTGGGCTCTGGGGAACGGAGATGATGACCCAGTATGACCCACCAGGCACCTCTTGGCCATAGATAAGTGAATATGGGCAATGTGGCGATCATATGGTGCCTATACTCCCGGTCCCAGGCTGGCCAGGTCACACCATATTACAGTGAATGGGGTGAGCCCCAAGAAGGCATGGGGAAGGAAGGCCAGGCATGGTGGCACATTTCTGTTATCTTAGCACTCAGCTGCTAAGCAAGAGGATTGCAGAGGGAAGAAGGGGGTCCTGACATAGATGCCCAGTGACCAAATCTTTGGCACTCCAGCCATACTTCAGAAATCTGGGAGAAACTGAGGCACCAGCCCAGGTTGGGGACAGATGAAATCTAACAAGTATGAGGGGAGTGAGGAACAGTCACATCACAGGGCTGAAAGCCTTGCACCAAGTTAGGCCCTATTAGGAAGACACTGGCTAAGGATGCTGTGGGCATGAGCTGGAGCAGTCTGGACAGTATCTATTTTTGCTGTGGTGTATTTAACGGGTGACACTTCATTGAGCTATACACTTGCACTTCCTGTGGTGTCAAAATCTTTCTTACTAAAGAAGTGGCCTGACCATGTTCAGAGAGGAGAGGGCTGGTGGGGTGAACCTTCTAAAATAAATGTGCTGGCACCCACAACACTGCTCCTTGTCATCTTTAGACTCATTGCTGTATTGGGGGATAGCCCTGCCAAAAGTTAGGGTCACGTGAAGGGCTAGGGCCGTCTATTCTGGGACCCAGCGTCCAGCCAGCAGCCGATTCATCCTTGTTCTCCAGCGACCTCTTCCAGGAACTGGCCCATTTGTGTGGACTGAGCCCAAGTGGCGTGGACTGTGGCGCCACCTGCTGGAGGCCAGCGGTTCTGGGACAACATCCATGAGCTGGCTGCTGCCTCTCCAAACTCACTAGGCTTCAAGGGCTAAGTTTGCCTAGTGCCCTGGGGACAAAGGGTAGGGTTGGAGATAGAGGCGGGGTTTGGGTCCATGGTCTACTAGAGAACACGTGATGTAACATAAGAACCATCTGCCTTTACAGTACTTTGTCACATTTTTTAAATATCTTT